CTTCTTCTTCTTCTTCTTCTTCTTCTTCTTCTTCCTCTTCCTCTTCCTCTTCCTCTTCCTCTTCCTCTTCCTCTTCCTCTTCCTCTTCCTCTTCTTCTTCTTCTTCTTCCTTCATTTTGTTTTGAATTGCTCATTAATGTCCTTTATTCTTTCTTGTATTATGTCACATGGAATATATACAGCATTTATTTCACCCCGTTCTGAAAGCCAAAGCAATTGAAATTTGGTGTCATCCATCTTATTAAATAAAGGATACACTGTCTTTGAGCAGGTTTACGATCTCTCAAACTCAAAACGAGTTGCTTCATTGTTAAATACATGTTCTCCTCTTGCAAGTACAGCTTTGAAGAAGACCTAGACTGCAATCTACAAAAGGGTCCTGCATGCATATTCTACATGCACACCCATATTTTCCTTGGAAATTGTTTCTTTTTCAGAAACTATGCACAGAAGACCCCCATAAACCTTATTAAACATTTTCATACAGAGAGTGTGCCCCCCCATATCTACATACATAACAAATGAGTTTTTTGTTTGGAGAAAAATAGCTCCTCTGAAAAATAATTTGGTGCTGTATACCCTGAGAGTTTTCAGTATACACGTTTGAATTTCATTGTTTAGAGACAATTGTTATAATCTGGGGTTTTCTGCTTGTGCAGCTTCCGAAAAATGAACTGGGGGGGGGGAAATGTAATGGCGTGCACAGAGTCTCTGTGCACTTCCTTTTGGATCATGGCCCAAAAGAGGTGGGAAGAAAGCAGCGTGCCCCTATTCTGTACATTAAAAAAAAAAAAGACCCCTAGAAATGTACACGTGGTGTTAATGTGATATGCAGCTGGTTTAAAAAGAAAAATTTTGTGCAACTTCATTTCATCAGATTCTATCTGCCAATGTTTTATATTTATATTTTTGTATTTATTTTTAAGAAATAAACCAGTTTTATAACGATTTTGTTCCCTGGTGGTTCTGTAAAAGGAAAGAATATATTACAAGTTTAAGTAAGCCTCACTGTACATGTAAGTAAATTTTATTAAACACAATGAGGCTTTATACATGTGTTATTTGGGACTGACAGACATTTTAAAGGTTTCAAACAATGACTGTTGTGAATGCACCTAAGATTTTATTAACAGTGCAAACCTATTTAACAAAATTGTAATCTACAGACATAGCCCTGGCACATTTTCCTGGGAGTTAGTCATGGAATGCAACAGAACGAATTTACTTTGGAAATGTCTATAAGATTATACTATAAATTATCGGTTAGACTTTGAACATATTGCCTACAGAGATTATCTGGTATGTGCACAAGCAGCCATGAGCATGTATGAAATATATGCTAAGCCACAGACCTTGATTAAACTGCAGCACATAGCAGAAGATAAAATGACAGCCTGTGCGTGCTTGTTATCTGAGTTTTCTGGTCTTAGTTTGCCATGGGAACACAGCTAAAGATTCTGGTTATCAGAAAGATAGCCTTTTGCAGCAAAACAATGAAAAGACCTAGGACATTGTGAAGAGTAATACACTTATTTTGACACAAGGTTTCAGAGTCTACAGTCACCTTCATAAAGTTCATGGAATCTTATAGATGATGACTTGGAGAGAAATGAAATATTGAGGAATCAGGGTTGGTTGGTTGGCTGGTTTTCCCCTATTTAAGAAATAAGGGTACTCTGACACACACACACCCATGGTTTTTGAGTGAACTGCATTTTAAACAAAACATGCAAACACTGGAAGAGGAACATCTTCCCAACCCATTTCACAAAACTGGACCTTCACTATTTTTCTCCTGATGTAACACTATCCTTGCCTATACTGAGAAGTCTTTATACTAGCTAAAACTCAGCATTATGGCTATCAAGATAGCTGGCAGCAGGAAATGCACCACATGACTGTGACTGGCTTGTATTAATTCATTTGTGAGTGCAATTGAGAAACAAAATTCCCCCTAAGCTATGTTCCTCCATACCTGCTCATGTATGTTACCCTTTACAGCCTTTGAGAGAGGAAAAAACACTGAACCAAGCAATCCTATGAAGGGAGTTTCCTTTCTTCTTGGTATCTCTGCATACAATTGATCCAGAAAAACGTTATTGATCTTAACTGCTTATTCTGAAACAAAATAGGAACAGTTGTGGTGTCCAAGGGCTACACTTAATCCTGTGGGGGGAGAGACTGGGAATCAAAAGTAGGGGGGCACAACATACATGCAGATAAGACTGTTTTGTGAGGTGGAGGTAGGGAGGGTTGTTTTAACTGTGATAAGCCTATTTTTAAGGTTTACACTACAGTTTTCGTGTATTCCCCACCTCAACATGGCAAGAAAATCTGTCTTTTTACAGCAATCATGGTACAGAGGGGGCTCCAGAGGCAAGTAAAAGGAAACTCAAGAGCTGCATTGAGTTTTGGTTCCCAGTTTTAAAAGGATAGGATAATGGTTTGTCAAGCTGCCCAGTCAGTGCATCCTTCCCAGAAAACTCTAGTGTGACATCTTAATAAAGGAGGGATGTAGGTTACACAATACTTGGCATTTCTTCAAATACAGCCCTACTTTGGGCCTCCTAGCTGAAAATGTGATGGTAAAGGAGAGGCAGGAGAAGAACAAGAGGGGAGGTGCTCTTGTTCTTTTGTCAGTTTCAAACTTGATATATGAATGCTTGGATGGGGTCTGCAATACCTTCAGCTACATATTACATGTTTGTTTATTTATATATGTTTGTACAGAGGGATAACATAAAGGCAGGCAAACCAATGTTCACCACAGGTTTCAGCCTTCAGCTCCTATCTGGTGCAGAGTAGTAGTCCAAAACATTTGGAGGCCACTATGTTGTCTGACCCTGGAAAAACTACAGAGGCCTTTGAGTTATTTCAGCTCCTGGTGACTCCATCTACTGTATGTAGTTTTCTTGGCTGCGGTCAAGAAAGTGGTTTGTCATTAGGGTCAGATCTGTGGGGTTTGAGATATATAGTGTTTTTAGGAAGACCATCAACACATTAGATGCAACATGCTTCTGGAATGTTTCTGGACTATTTCCTATCCCTCAAGGAGAGAATTGATATCTGAGGAACTTTTCCCCTTGCAGATGGATAAGGCATGACAACATAAGAGGCTATGGGTCTGGCAATCATCTGGCTTAATAACTGCTGTGGACTTCTGGTTGGTTAACCAATCTAAAGTACATGAATTTGGCCAAAGGACCTTCTTCTCACTCTCCCAATTGCATTAAGTGATTCCATCTAAGAATATTTAACTAAATATGTATGTATATGTATGTATATATAAAGATTTCAAGGTACAAGATGTGCCAACCCTTCTGTCAACAGTCTTGTAATAAACTTTACCATTTACTTTTGAAGTGGGAAAAATCTTTGCACCTTTATGTAGAGCAAGCCTCTGTTAGCAGAATACCTTTCTGAAGAGATAAAATTAAACAGTATTCACTTTAAACAAATATTTTTGTTAGACTTGCCATGGAATGTAGCACCGAATACTTTTCTGAGCACATACTGTATATCTTCAGTAATTGCTTAAATCCATTGTGGCTTTAGCAACTCAGGTCAGGGTAAGGGGTGTTCACTATTTATCTAGTGTCTCAAAGCCACTCTCAGTCATGAGTTTAAACTCAAGGTTATGATGTAGGTTGAAAAGTTTTCACTTTTTCTTTTACTAATATAAATGGATTTTGAACAATTGCACCACCTTGCTTTAATGCAAACCCTATGTGAAAAGTCTGAAGCAGGGTCAAAAATTGGGTGTCTTCCAGAAGTTTTACATTTCAGCTCCCATCAACCACATCCAGCATATGACCACTGGAAGGGATTATGAGAGCCTAGAACATCTGGAGGCACCAGGTTGCCTGGTTTGGTCAAAAGGAATATCACCTAAAGTATTTGTTTGTAGCTCAAAGTGAGCTCTTTTGATTTATACATCAAAAACAGTATTTTGTCTTTCCTTTGGTTCTTTAATATTGTCAGCACCTAACCTATCATTTATTTCTTAGCCTCAAAGTGTTTAGCAGGATTGACTTTTATCTGCTGCCTCTAAAATGAGTTTTGCCAGAACAGCCCTTACGATGATCAAATCCATTTTGATGTTATTCACAAATAATATTTATAGTGGCATAATGAAGGAAAGGAGATTTTGGGTAAAAGAAATGGAGGGAAAGGCTGCCATATATTTTGATCCTTTAACCACTTAAAATATTTGAAAATATCAGATAGGGCCACTTCAGAACATAGGAAGAAATACTTCACCATCTGAATACTTCACCATGTCAAAAATTGCCTGTGAAAAAGGAGATTATAGACATAAGAAGACAATGTTTATTTGCTTATTTTTTTATCAGATCTGAAAAGCCACCTAACTCCAGAGGAACTCAGGGTGGCATTACAAATTTGATAGATATATAAATAACTTTGAAGCTGTCATGCTGGCTTTCCACAGATCAGGAAATGTGAATGGGGAAACACTGACCCTGACTTTCACAATCTCACTTAAACTAGTGACATGCAGCCCTGCCACAATATACAGTGTCTGACAGGTTTTTGACTTATGTGACACACTCCAAAAAAATATCAGGATAAAAAGTTATTATATTCCCCTCCCAAATTCTATTGAAGTTTAGCTAAGCAGAAATTTCA